ACACACACACACACACACACACGCACACACACACACACACACACATCCAAGAGATGCTCATAACCAGCCAGATGTTAAAGCTTCATTGCCCTCAAGAGAGCAGGACACCTGAGGGTCTATAATATAGAAAGCCCTTTTCATAGATTACTTCTTTACAATAACCTAAGTAGACATTACTGGAAATGAACAGAGTCCTACAGAAGTTCAGCAGCTTTCCTGAGGCCACAGTATTAGAAAGGTGGCTCCAAACACAGGTCCTTGCTACTTTTACATTTTCCCACACTGGCTCTTAGGAGGGAGTCCTCAGGAGGCTTGGACTTGGGGAACACAAGAGTCCTCTGAGGCTATAACACATTTTTACAAGCAAAGAGAGGTGACCATCTTTCCAGGGCGGGAACATGTGCATGCTGGTGAAAGGCCAATGCCTCACTCATGCCAGTAACTCACAGTAAAGCCCACACTCCTCCTTCAAACACTGGCCCCACACTCCCCGACTGACCTTCCATAGAGGAGGCAATTTCAAGAGACAAGGGGACAACAGTGGTGGGGGCTGGAGTGGCCAGAGACTCCCATCGTCTGGACAGCTCAGTGTCATCCACATCAGCAGACACAGGAGAGGGGGACGGCATGCCTCCTTCAGGTTCCCCACTGCCTCTGGGAACCTCAAAATGCTCTTGTGTCACCAAGGGTAATGTGGGGTCTGGTTCTTGAGTAGCCATTGTCATCTCTTGAGTGATGTCTGAAAAGGATGGAAACATTTTTACATAGCCCAAATTCTGATACATTAGAGGCACTATGAGGACAATTAATTGAAAAAGTGTACATTGCTGTTTCAGAGACCTGAACAACAAAGACAACTTGGGAAATAAAGGCCAGTAAACAAATGTTACTGTAGCTGCTTGGGGGAGCTATGGGGCAATCTAAGGCAGAAACAAAGAAGGAAATGTAAAAACAAACAAATAAACAAAAACCTAGAATAAAATTGAAGCAAAATGGGAAGATGGATAGCTGGGCTTCTCAGACATACTTGAATGCTGGTGGAATCAAGAAATAAATATACAGATCTAAGTCACACTAAAATCTCTCTGAAGTATTTCCCCATATTAATGTTCTGCATATATAAAAGGAGGAAAGAAAGTTGGCAATTTAAAATAAAAATAACAATTACACCAGCCAGTGTAACAAATTCACCTAGTTTTTGTGATGGACAGGCAGTCATGATGTGGTGTGCACTCTTAATTTACCCTTTCCACGTGGGTTAAAGGAGAAGGATAGTAATACCACCCATTGAAACCTACCCCACAGTAGTCAAGAACGCAGACTACAGAGCCAACTTATTTGGGTTTGAATTTTGATTCAACTAGTCTCCAGCTTTGTGATCTTAAGCTAATTACTGAACATCTAACCTTCAGTTTTCTTCCCTATTAAATGACAACAATATTTACCTACTGTTTTTCTTCCTTCCTTCCTTCCTTCCTTCCTTCCTTCCTTCCTTCCTTCCTTTTATTTACTTTTTGAAGCAGGAAAAGTCTTTATATTCCAAACATGAAGCACAGTACCTTGAACAAAGTAGTTTTTCAGTAGACATCTTTTTCTTAATTGTCTTATTTTTAAGTATGTGCTTGTGCATGTGTCTGTGCACATTATTAGTGTAGCTGCCCATGGAGGCCAGAAGAGGACGCAGGATTCCCTGGACCTGGAGTTCTAGGTGAGCCCCCTGATGTGGGTGCTGGGAACTAAGCTCAGGTCCTCTGAAAGAGCAGTACAGACTCTTAAACATCTAGCCCATTCATAAAACCGTAGGTAAGTGAGGCAATTATTACTGAAAGCATATTTGATCACCAAAATCGCCTGAATATTATTAAATCTATTTTAATTTTTAGCTTACAACTATAAAAGTCCAAAATATGACAATACAGACATGCTGGTGTAATGTATGCTAGGGACCATGTGATTTCATGTTCTAGAAACGTAAGTGCTATGGACAATTGAAGTAAAATTCTTGTTTCATCTTACTTAACATCTTTATGCTTACACAAGCTCCACTCGATGTCTTTTTAAAAACAGGGTCTGCTGTGCATCTTGAGATGCAGGGACGTTTAAGAACATGCAGGGTTACAAAGTGAGAAACTGTCCCCTCACAAAAAGTTTAAATAGAACTCATAAAATATTTTCTGGATGCATCTATGAAAAGGTACACTTTTCACCCCTTTGAGCTTCTAAAAATGAATTAGAAACTGAGCATGGTAACACACAACTATAATCAGAGTACTCAAGAGGGAGATGTGAGAGAATCAGGCATTAAAAGCCAGCTTTAGTTATTTAGCAAGTGTGAGTCTGAGCAACTTGAAATACTGTCTCAAAACAAAACAAACAAACAAAAACCTAAAAACTCAAATAGGCATGTAAACTATTCAGTCTTACTTTTGTTATTTATCAAATGATCACTTTTACCATTTTAATTAAATCTCGAAAAAACTTTATGAGTCATATTACAAATCTTTTTTTTTTCTTTTTATGAATAGGTTCCTTGGTCCAGGTAAAATATCATATGTTCTAAAACAATTTCAAATGAATACATGTACTTTATACAAAGTTTTTCCTTCCAGATGCTATTGTATGACCAACCACATAATAAAACATAATCCATCACAACCAATATTAGGGTTTTACTTTCTAATATCCAAAGTTGTGCAGGCCAAGAAAAAGTAGAATATTCAGAATAAATCCAGTAGACGATTTATATTTTCTTTCCACATTATTTCTAAACAATTTGTTTTTAGTAGATAAGGTGGAAGAACCCAAGTGGTTAATACTACAAGATCATTTTACCTAATTATTTTTGGTGAGAAATATCAAATATGTGCATATAATTTGCAATGAGGTATAAATAGGTATCACACATTATTACAAAACTGAAACATATACCTGTTTCCTTCATATTTTTATATGTATTTCTACACTTGTTTCAGCGCTGTTGACTGAGACACCTGACACCTGTTTCTGAAAGCTGTCCTGCAGATGTAGAATGTTCTAAAGTATCCCTGACCCATAATCAGGAGATGTCAGCAGTAACTCTCAGCCAAAACAACTCAAAGCATCTCCAAATGTTGCCAAGAATCCCAAGGAGGGGGTAGAATGTGGAACTACCCTTAGTTAAGAACTTCACATCTGGAGGCTATGATTTTTTACAGAATATGTATTATTTATTTGAGTATTCTCTGTTTGATTAAAATTTGAGTAACTGTTTCTAAGTCACCTTGAAAAAGCAAAACCAAAACCTACCTTAGCAGCACACATCTATAATCTCACTACTGGGACCGGGGGAGGCAGTAGGACAGTCTTATGTTTGAGGTCATCTGAACTACTTGGTGAGTTTAAGGTTAAAACCAAAGTAAACAGACAAACAAACAAAAAAGCAAAACCAGTCAGGCATGATGACACACATCTGCAGTCCTGGCAGTTAGGGGCAAAGGTAACAAAATAGTGAAGTCAAGAAATCCTTTTTTAAGATCCTATTTCAAAAATTTTCAAAAATAAAAAAATAAATCCAAATTTAAAGTTTCCAAATCTAACTATGGGGTGCTTTGTGGCTGTTTTAATTCTTTACATTTCCCTCTTACCTTTTAACACATTTCCTACTGCCTGATGTGTGTTGGTCTCATATTGAGAGGTAGAAATCATGGTTTTTGAGAAAAGCGTGGTCCTATCCTCCAGAGTGGATGCTGTGAAGCCTCCAGCACTTGGGAACAGGTTCATAGTGGAAACTTCAGGTTCTTCTGTGGGAGTCATGGGAGTAAAGGGAACTTGATGAGTATAAACAGTTGATCTCTGTTCCTTCAGTGCAATTATCAGGGCTGTTCCCAAGGATGTTTCTCCTTCAGGCAGCCCTGGAGCCACTGTATTAACTTTTGTGGAAGTGAGGGTGCCCTCAGCCCCTTCAAAGCTCTCATAAACTTCATGTGGGGGCTCTGTACTCACTTGAGTCTCTGCATTGTCTCCTGAATCAGGGGTCTCTGTGAGATTTACACTCTCAAATTTGGTGTCATCCCACTCATCACTTGAGACAGAAGAAAATGGAACAGCTGTGCTGACACTCACTGTGACCTTGAGGTCCCCCAGACGACTGTCAGCTGTTGGATCAATATTCAAAATATTCTCAGGGGTTGCCACCAAGTGTATGGTGGCAGTGGTCTGGGAATTGTCACCTGGTTTCTCTGAGGGCCTCTTCCCAGCAGGCTCTGTGTCTGTTGTAGAATCAACACCAGGAATGGCAGCCATCCCCTTGGATGCATCTGTTTGAACTTTCTCAGTTCTTGGATTGGCAGTTAGCATTTCTTTGGTTTTTCTATAGGATAAAGGTATGTTTCCCAAGCTAACTGCTTCCTGACTTTCAGTGATAAACAACTGATTATCCACATACTTCAGGAAGTCATGTGTTACGTCTGTGATCCCTTCTCTAATGGGCTGGATGCTAGAACTGCTATGTGGTCCCTCCTGGTGAGGATTAAGAGAAGTAGGTGAGAGACAGCAATGATGGACATGGCCTTGGAAAGTCTGCATTCAGGAGACATCCTTTCAAGCTGACTGGGACCATGCCCTTCTTCACTGCCTGAGACCACTGGCTCACTGGAAGAGTGAAGGTCAGAGATGTTAGGATTCAGAAGCTCAGCTCCTGGATGATGGTGTTCTTTGTTGACAGAGGTTACTTTATTTAATTGCATCACTGATGATCCTGCAGATAGTACCATGGGAGCTTCAGAGGACATCTGCTGGGGTGTGTGCTTTGGAGCAAAGGAGATGTTTTCTTGGTCAGCTGTGCTCATCTCCCGGGACTTCTCTGTCTCCATATGAGACTTTGCTATCTCCCTCTTTTCCACTTTTTGGAAAGCTAGACATTGTGTGGTTAAGGTGAGGAAGAGAATGCTACACAAAGACACAGAGCTGTGCAACAGAGTTGATCTGCTCATAGTGGATAAGTTGAAGGAGTTGACAGTTCCAGTGATTGAGTCCTGTGGAAAAGTAAAGCATAGCACACTGTCATGCAGATAGATTTTGTAAATGAGCTCCATTAACTTAAACCAAAAGAACAATGATCTCCTTGACTCCTCTCAGAGAAGGGAGGTAGGAGATGGTTGTTCTATTTCTCTGTCCCCTTGAGACACAGATAACCCAGATCACTTTTCCCTTCTGAATTCTGCAGCTGATTTAACTTAAAGCTCCCTGAAAATGGTACACAAAATGACTTTAGAATTTAGCACCATGTCTAGGAGATGGAAAGTAAATGTTACAAATATATTTTAGAAACTTTTGTGCTTCTGTGGTCTGTATGTTTGTGTCCCTACAGTTCATAGGAGATCTAATCATAAGAACAGTGTTGGGAGATGAGGCTTTTAGGAAATGCTGTCAGGAACACAGGGCACTGATGAATGGGACCAGGATCCATAGAAAGAGCCCTCAGACATCCCCTTCCCTTCCTGTCGGTCATGTGAGAGCACAGAAATACTTGGCCTCTATGAACCAGGCTCTAACCAGACACCTCATCTGCTATTGCCCTTATCCTGGACTTCAAGAGTCCAGAATTGTAAGAGATGGATTTGAGGGGTTTTGTTTTGCTTATACTGTATCTAGAGTTGTATACAACCCCACCCCCTTTATGATATCTTGCTACAATGATCAAAATAGAAAGTCTGTTTTTAAAACTTAATAACTATAAAAACATATTTAAAATAAGTTATTTTCAAGAGTTTAAAATACATGTGAATGATTTTCAGCTAAAATACATCTTTAAAATGTTCAAGTTATTTGCAACAACAATAAAAACTATACAGAAAACCTTCATGTTCCAAAATTTCATAATCAGAAAAGATAGACAATGTGAACATTTGTTATTTTAAAATTGTTAAATTTGCACTTCTTGCTGGTTAACTATGGTTTATAGTCATTCAATTTAATATATTCTTTAAGCTACTCACATTCTCATCACAGCTCAAGCTACAACCCTATATTAAAACAGCTCATTGTCTTCCCAATTCAAAGATTTGTAGCACTCTTTCCCCATTGTCTGGGTGTGGCCCTTTGATTTTACATTCAGGTAAGTTTCCCAAATCATGATTCCCCAGCACAATAAACAAAAATGTCTAAAATAACACATGCCAATGCATGTCAATATTTGAGATGTCACTTTAATTTAGATGCACCAGAATATATCTTATTCCATAGCCAGGTGACATGTGCCTAGATAGGATTTGTCCTCATGTCTCACTTTTTCTTCCTTGAAACAAAGACAAATGAAAACTACGAATTACAAATGACCATGGGCAATGAGACTATACCTTTGGATTTCTGTGTAGACAAGCTGAATGAGGAAACTAAATAGACACTGTAAGAAACCAATCATTGATAATAATGATCACAGAAGTTTCTGGTTTGTTTAAGATTTGCCCAGGAAGTTCTCCACTCTCCTTCTATTTGATGAAATCTTACTAAACATACTGGAGGATGGAAGGGGTGCTCTGGGGTGGGGCCTAGGCTCAGTGACAGAATGCCTACTTAGCATGCACAAGGCCCTGAGTTCAAAAAAAGATAGGGTCTAAAAGCTTAGTCTACATGATGCCATAGATTTTGATAAAATCCAGAGGAGCCCCAAACATCAAGGACTGTAACAGAGTTTAGAGGGGCATGGACTAGCATTAGGAAATGATTTCTGAATCTATATTTCTTGTTAAAAGCTTAATAAATAGCTTCAATTCCCCCTTTTATAAAGTGGGGCATTAACAAAACACCCTTTGAGAATCCTCTACATCTATGAGTGTATACTCATGTCCTGTTACCACGAAGGAAAACAAAATTAAGAGTGTTTCTGTAGTCTCAGAATTTTTTCTACAAGGGGTGGAGGTACCACACATGTGAAAGAGACTGTACATTTTATGATTCGTGGTTTTGTAGGCTGAGAGAAGAATTTTATGGACAAATTAGATTTAGTGGAAAGGAGAAAAATGTAAAGGTTTAACAAGCCTCAACCACCTTTCCAAGACAGAATTCCCCTTCAGGGTCTTATTTCCTTCTACATCTAGAGTTCAAATGTCTGTGTGCAGGGAAATCTGCCTGCTCTAAAGGATGTTGCTCCTGTGATTAAGTGCTGGCCACCTGCTTTCTAAATCCAATTACTGCAGAGAAAGTGGGGGGAGCCACAGCCTGTGTGTCTGTGTATTGAGGCCATATGCTCCCTTTCTCCGCTAATGCAAGCAACATCTGAACTCTAGGAGAAAGAGAAATGAAGGCCTGTAGGAACGGCAGCAGTGAGCAGTCTGCCACTCAAATTAATATATACTTTCAAATCCCTTCACCTTCAATGCCTAGTGCAGGTCTTATTACCCCGCCTAGGAGTTAGCATCAGACAAGGAGAACTGCATGACATTAGAAATTATGAATGAAAGGAGTGACCACAGTCAGGCTGTTGATAATATCCTTAACCATGTAGGCACATTTTGTGGTCTCTGGCCTTTTCTTTCTTTCCCCTGCACTCTACTCCCTTTATGGCCAAGTGCCCAGGAGAGAGGAAATGCTGAGCAAATGTTGTCTGAAAAGCCATTCGTGTCCTTAGGGTACTCTGCTGGGAGAAAAGTAAAGGGAATATTTCACTGCTTTTGAGCATCTGTGTCTCAAATTAAATTATCTTGGTCATCAGGATACTCAAGGAGCAAAGGAAGGAATGCTTCTCTACTGTTCATCCTGCATCTCTGGTGCTGTTCTTACTGTGTCTCAATGTCCTTTAGTTCTGACAAACTAACCAAGTTCCTAACAAGCAGAAGGTATTACCTCCACCTATCTTAGAAAGCATTTCTTGGGGATCTAATCAGTATCACTTTGTCTGTCACTCCTTATCAAGCTTCCCTAATGGCTTGTCTGTCCTCTGAGCAATTTGCTTATTTCTGCCACTGGTGGGTGGGCAGATAAGCTATTCTGTCAAGCATTATCTTTCACCATCTTAAATAGACACAGTCGAGGGTCTCATTCTTTGTGAAGTCTGGGCATAGCCAAGCTTCAATGACAATGAAAAGTGGTGCTAAAAAGCAAACAAAAATTTGTAGCCTTAGACTTAAAAGTCAGTTTTTGTTCACATTTGCTTGATCTATGTTTTCCAGCTGAGATGAAGAGTTACTGCTTTGGTGTGTTACCAAAACAAAGACATGGCTGAGAAACCAGCATGTTCAACATTTTTACAACCAACTCAAAGGTTAAATTGAATTTCATGTCTATTATAAAAGTACTATGCACACTGTCCTAGATTACTGAAGCCACAGGAAAGCTGTGACAACTGGCTGATATTTACAGAAATATTGTGAAAATCTGAGGAGGAATGGAGAGGAAAAATTCTTACTCTCAGATTTCCTTTGTCTGCTGGCATTATGGGGTGGTGGTGAGGCAGCAGCCTTTTGTAGATCTGTGGTTTCTTCTTTCTGTCCAAACTGATGCTTGAACTTTAAAGCAAGTACAGATCCTGTAGTGACTACTTGCAAAAAATCATTTGCAACTCAAATTGACAAATAGCCTCCAAGTTCCTAATGGAGTCTTTCCCTGTCTTATAAAGTCCAATAGCTACTCAGGGTCTGTCTCAAACACAACTTTATTTTTTCACCCCACTTTCAGTATCATCATCAATTTTTCTCTTATAAATCCCCCCATCCTGTCCCAGCTTTTGAGATTCTGTCCTTTATTATCCCTCTTGGAATAGTTGCTTCCTAACTAGAGCATCATTATTTTAATTTCCTTCTAATTGGGACTCTGTCTAGACTCTGTCCTTTGTAATCTGTTATAGACCACCCAGATGACTTGTTCTTGAGAAGAAAATGACCGTGATCAATCAAAAGTGGCTGCTGCTTGAGCAATGCTTTGTGCCAACTTTTGTTAGGTGCATAATGGAAATTTACCTTATTTAATCCCTCACAGTGAGGCAGGTGTTACCATGATCCTGATTATCTTTTAGATGAGAAAACCACATGTTTGCAGGGGATAATTACTTGTTTCGGTAATAGCATTTAGTTTTGTTTGATCTTTTGGAGTCTTTCAGACTTCAAACCTCTTGCTTTTGCATTTGGTTTCTCTGTCTTTCCAGAATATAATGTCCCAAAATGTACAACTACATAGCCGCACAGCACACCTCCTACCCAAACTCCATACCAGGGCCAAGTAAACTCCCATCTTCAATCAGGTACAGCCCCCTCTTAAATGCTTTCCTTGTGTACTTTTCCATGTATTCTGCTTCCATCATACTAGCTCTGGAACTTTCTCTTTTCTGTACACTCCGATCAAGCCTTGACCATGTTTCTGACAGATAACTGCTGCCAATAAAGCACCTGGCCCATTGTTTTCCTATTTTTCCTCAGCTTCTTCACCACTAATTGTCATCCCTGTAAGTCTTCTCACTTGGAACAAGACTGCATCTCTTCTGACCTTTGTTGTCTACAGTTTCCAATAATGTCAACTAGATGGATGAAGTTGACAATAAATAGCTGATGGCAAGGAGTAAATGTAAATAATCACTTAAGGACAAGGAAGTGAGAATTCAGTGTTTATTTTGTACCAGAAGATTTGACAGCACTCAGTCTATCTTCACCTAATTGCATGCTGTGTTCACCACTTGGCCACTTTGAGCTGATTATTCAATTTAACACTCTAACAGCACCAACAAATTGTGTTATTACTTACACTATATTGTAACTTTTGAGAGTGTCTGTCTGTCTGTCTCCCCCCCCACAAACCCAAACATACACACACAAACACACATACACACACATACACACACACACAGAGAGAGAGAGAGAGAGAGAGAGAGAGACAGAGACAGAGACAGAGACAGAGACAGAGACAGAGACAGAGACAGAGACAGAGACAGAGACAGAGACAGAGACAGAGACAGAGAGGCAATTACAGATAACAAGCTTCAGAGTATCAGGTCAGCTTGTTTCTCAATTACCCTCTCACCATTTAGAAATCCAATTAGTAATTCTCTGGTTGATGAAGGGGGAAAAAATCCTTCCTTGTAGGTCTCTTAATACGCTCTTAACTT